TTCTTTGGAGTTGGGGAGCAGTGAAGGTCCAGGACGCCACCATTCCCGCCACGCCACTTAGGACCTAGATGCAGGCGCGCTCTCCCCAACCAGCCTCACGCAGAGCCCGGGGAGCTGCGAAGGTCCAATCCCCTCTCCCACCCACCTCATCAGATTAAATAGCTCAAAACAAACCGGGCCCAACCTCTGTGGCCCCATTTAACGTACCCTTCTTCTTGCTTGTACCCCATTTCTTGCCACTTCTTCCCCAATGTAGCCCGGTCCCTTTATCGAGTTCCAAGTCCCAATAACCTCTACTCACATCACACATCGCCTCCACTCTCCGGCCCCTGCCCCTTGGACTTCATTAAGCCCTGGTCCCTCCCCCTGGACCTCCCAAGAGCTCAAGCCCTCCCCGCGTGCCCCAGAGCAGACCTGCGCCCTCTCCCTATACCCACGGGACCCGTGTCCTTGCCCGCACGTCACACTTGGGTCCATTCCTACCACGATCTGGTCTTCCCCACCCCCTCCCCAGGAGCTACCCCCAGTACCCCATTACCTCCGGCCCCGCCCCCCTGAGGGTGTCGCACTCACCGCTCCCGCCGCCGCATCCTTAACCGCCGCGGCTGCTATAGCTACGGGGAGCCAAGGCAACCAGCTCTCGCGACACTTTCCTCAGCAACAGCGAGAACCGCCGAGAAAAACCTCTTGCAAGAAAGTGTATCTAAGTATATCTCGCGATAGTAGTGTGCAAAATGGCGGTCGCAAAGCATTTCAGGGGTGGTGTGAAAAGGTTTAGAGGTGGGGCGAGGGCGAGGGTGAAAACTCGGTTGCCCCGAGCATTGGGAAAGTACTGCGTTGGGAGTAGTTAGTATGGGGACCCTACACGAGGTTAATTACAAGGATGTGACATTGTCCTCACGTAGTGCCTTAAACTTAGATCAGTGTCGCCTTTGGCTAAAGTTCAGTTTCCTGGCATCTTCCTTTCCTTCTGCATGCGGCGTAGTTGGAGATGCAGAGGTTAGCAGGTTAGAAATTGGCCCTCTCATCTTCTCATTCTTTTAAAAAAAAATTTATCGAGAAGTTTTCATTCGTTCTTCTCCCCACTCTAGTTTGTAAATGGTGGTTAGCTTCATGGAAATGTTTTCTAGGTGTATTCTGTCCCCGTCAGTTCGCCAGACCAAATAGAAAACAAAAGTTAAAAAAGAAAAATTCGGACACAAACATAGGTGTTTATCCTTGGATGCGGAAGGGGACCGCATCGGTGTATGACTTGAGCTTTGCACTTGTTGCTTACCACCCTATGGACATGTCTTTGCTTCGTGACTCTTTAACACCAAGGTTTTTCTTACATTTACAAGAGTAAATGCAGACTAATATGGTACAATCTGGAATAGAAGGTAATTTAGAAAACATCGGTCTACAAGGAAGGATAAAGCCCAAAAGGTAACAAATAAGGGAGTAGAGCTAATAAATGGATTGAATTTCGCCTCTTGGAGCTTTCTGAATAGCACACATCAGGGTGACATAGCCTAGACCAGTGCTGTCCAATAGAAATATGTTGTGAACCACGTTATGCAATTTACTGGTAGCCACATTTCTAAAAAGTGAAAAGAAGTAGTTGAAATTAGTTCTAATAGCGTGTTTTATTTAACCCAACATATTCAAAAGATTATCATTTCAACATATAATCAATGTAAAAAAAATTATATATTTTACATTCTTTTTTTTAACTAAGACTTCAAAATCAGGTTTTGTTTTATATTTACAGAACATCTCAATTAGGACTAGGCACATTTCTACAACTCAAAAGCCACTTGTGGCTAGTGATTACAGTCCTGGATGGCAGGGCTCTAGATCCTGGGGATCTAGAGTGGGAAGTGAGCTATGTAGGTAATTTGAAAGGGGGGCAGTATTATGGGCTTGTGCTTTATGTAAAAGAAACCCTTGAAGTTGCCAATTCGATGATTGCAGAAGCTAGGCAAGTAATATTAACAAAACAAGATGACATGATGTAAAACAATAGAAGTGGGGACTAGGACCTACTGGAGATTACAAACCCCTGTCTAAAAGGGCTGCCGCTCCTGAATTTGAAAGCACAGTGACAACTAAAAGATTTCTATTAACAGTATAGACAGCTATCCCTGTTTCCAATGTGTGATCTCTGTGAGCCACATATGGGCTAGCACGTGTGTTTGTGCATGATTATTTGTTTCATGCTCTAATGAATAAATATGTTTTGTATATACTTGTGAATGTGATTTTGTAGGTGTGGATGTGGGTATGGGTATGTAAGCAATCAGAGCTCAGGTCTGGTCTTGAAGTCTGGTATTCAAATGTGTGAAACATTTTTGAAGAAAGGATATTTTAATGGAAAATAGTATCCAGGCTAAGGGATGCCAGATATTGAGAATTTGACTGGATTTCTGGCGGCATCCTGTACCAGTATGCACTTTAATGCATTAAACCACCATTGCTTGATGATGCTTTCTGTAAAGATTATCCTATTTTTTTAATTTTATATTTATCAATTTAACTTCTGATAATAATTTGACCTCTAAGTAGACTTTCCTTCTTAAGAGATAGTTTCACAACCAATCTGGGCTCCCTGTGAATTAATAAATTTGAATCATGATTTTTTGTTGTGTTTAGGAGCTCAGACATTGAGATTAGGAAAAAAAACACCTTTCTAGATTTTCAGAGCTATTGACTGGTAGATGCTGAACTTTTTTCCTCCAACATTAGGGTTGTTGTTAGCTGCTATAGAGCTGACCCCAGACTCGTGGCAACCCAGTACACAACAAGATCAAACCATTGTGATCCATAGAGTTTTCATTAACTGATTATTTTTTTGGAAACAAATTGCCAGGCCTTTCTTCCTAGACCATCTTAGTCTGGATGCTCCACTGAAACCTGTTTAGCATCATAGCAACACATGGACAGATGGTCCATTGGCCAGGAATTGAACCCAGGTCGCCTACATGGAAAGCAAGACTTCTACCACTGAACCACCACTGCCTTCAATTTTAAGGGAAAGCATTTAATAATTATTTTATGGTTGACTATGAAATCTCCTTGTCACATGAAAGTTATTTGTCTTTGTACTTCTGATGTCTGACGTAGTATCTGGTATACAGTAGTTGTTATTGTTGTTAGCTGCTGTTGAGTTGACCCCCAACTCCTGGTGACCCCGTGCACAATGGAATGAAATGCTGCCTTGTCTTTCATCATCCCCACAATCTATAGGGTTTTCACTGGCTGATTTTCAGAAGTAGATCAAGCTGAATAAATAAATAATTGTTTCAGGGGACTCACAGACTGATAAGCTTGAGAACCTGATGAAAGCTATGAATCCTTATTCAGATTCTGTCTGTGCCCATTTCCCCTCAGCCTATCCCAGAGTTCACTACAGCTTTGGTAAACAGACACTATACCAGCCCATATCTTCCTACCTCAAACACCTGAGTATCTCTCTGCCTGAGACCTTGCTTAGCTCTCCCTAGAAGTGCCAATGTTAACTTTCCCTGGAAGGTAACATTACCAGGAGGAATCCACAACCAGTGAGAGATGGGATTTAGTGGATAAATATTCCAGTTCCTTATCAGGGCAGTTCTGAAGTATGTTCTACTATATTGTTTCTCAAAATTTACTAATATAGAGGGAACATGGGAAAAAAAAATGCATTGACCTATGTTGCTTTAGTTTTGTGTATTTCACTGTATATAAATTATACTTCAATAAAATGCATTAAAAAATTGCTAATATATAAGAATCACATGGAAAGACTAATAAGATACAGATTCCTGAGCCCAAGAATTTGCTTTCTAACCAAGCTCCCAGAAGATACTGGTGGTGCCAGTCCATGGACCACAATTTAAATAGCACTGTTCTCAGAGAATTGTGGAATTCAGTCCCAGTTACCCAAAGCACCCTTATTGACTTTCCTCTTTCTTTACGCTGCTTCATTTTCTAGAATCAACACCCAAATGAACTACTTGCATCCAAATCTTTGTTTCAAGATCTGTTTAGGGGAAATTCAAACTATGACATCTTTGTGGACATAGAAATAGAATTTTATATACAAGTTTAAGAGAGGGTATGAATCTTCTGAAATTTATTATTTAGGTGGTAAAGGAAGTTGACCAGGGTAAATGTCATGTAACCTAAGGTTCACTAAAATTGGATCAGTCTAATGCAGAGTCTAGCAACTTAACATAACCACGAACAGCTTGTAGAGTTGAGTTGGCTGAAAATCAGTAGCTCTCCTGAAGTTATTTTTCCAGACCCTATTGAGTCTTCTCTTTATTCTTCCTGGTCTGTATCACTCTTACTTTGTGGAATATAGGAATAAGTCTGGGACTCACAAGAGACCCCATGCTTGAGCTGTTGCTCATTCCTACTGGACTCTCATGGTTTCTTCCTAATCACAGTGCTTTCAGGACACCACTGTGGTGCCTCTGTAACCTTTAGACCTTTTCTTGCCATGTTCACACAGAGCCAGGCATACTATAATGCAATTGGTTTCTCCTTTCCCCTCTAGATTGCACATGGTTCCCTATTTCATCATTTTGAGAATCTGTAACCTTTGACACATATATTTCCTAAGCCCACTCTGATGTCATCTAGAAACATATGGCATGCTCTAGTTCTAGGACAATTGGGTAACCCTGATTGTCCCAGCTTCTAATCAGCTACATAAAGAGAGTTAACATCAGGGTCACCAACACCTATTTCCTAACCACAGTGCATAATAGCTTCTTAGCTTTGGCCATATATGGGCTAGCACGTGTGTTTGTGCATGATTATTTGTCTCATGCTCTAATGAATAAGTATGTTTTGTATATACTTATGAATGTGATTTTGTAGGTGTGGATGTGGGTGTGGGTATGTAAGCAATCAGCGCTCAGGTCTGGTCTTGAAGTCTCAGTAATGAATGCTTAGGATTTGGCTTTAATTAGTCTCTGTGCATTGTTAGCCTCAGCTTTTGTCTGCCCTCAAATATCAGAGGAAGAATGAGTTCATTTCCTTGAAGTTTATTGGCTGTTACTGATGGCAGAGCAAATTCCTTAAAAGAGCAGGTTCCATATGAAGCAAGTGGAAGGGGAACTCTGAGTTGGTAAGGAAGGCTGCTGGGAGTGGGTACTTGGAGTAAAGGATGGAAAAGCAAATCTTTCCCTCCTTTATCCTCCATTCCCACAAGGATATTAGATTCATATGGGGGTATCCTGCTCAGCATTCCCTCTCCAAAGTGAAGCCAGAGAGGGGAAACTTGATGCAAAGTAGAGAGGTAAACACCTCACAGCTCCTCTGTTTCTCCATCCAATGGGATGCCAATATCCACGTTGTAGTCTACAGCCTCCCCGGAGCTCAACCAGGGAATAGGGGTCCGATTGAAAGAAGGCCTGTTGGAGAGGTTCTGGTTGTAGAGGACCAAGGGTTCACTTAGCAGGGGCCCCAGGTCAAACTTGGGCATCTGAAAGGTCATGCGTTTGGAAGCCTTCTCATATCCACCATAGGGCATTGCCGTCCTGAGAAGGGGACACATTATTTAATTAAAAACCAGAACAAAAAGAACAGAGCCTTATCAGTGAGATGTTAGCCTATTTTGAGAGTAGGGAAGTCTAGTTTGCTTGTTTCCTCAAAGCTAATAATAAGAGGAGGCTAGTTACTAGATTCCCCATTGCTGTCAAGTTGATTCCGACTCATAGTGAACCTATAAGACAGAATAGAACTGCCTCATAGGGTTTCCAAGGCTATAATATTTATGGAAGAAGACTGCCACATCTTTTCTCCCATAGAGCAGCTGGTGGGTTTGAACTACCAACCTTTTGGTTACAGCCAAACACTTAACCACTGAGCCACCAGAGCTCTTTGGATACTAAATATCTTATAAATAGTTGTGACCCAGAGTAGCATGCATTTCAGAGAAAGTGATCCCAGACACTATCGACCTGAGGATCTGAGGCTACCTTAAGTTGTAATGTAGAAACCCTATGACCTCTCCATGCTACCTCCAATGGATAGTAAATGGCCTGCGTGGGAGGACCTACGCACTTCTCTAGCACTTCCCTATCCTGCTTTTATCCAGATCTCCATGATCTATGGAGACAAAGAATAGGTACTTAGAGCCTTACTGAGTAGAGTATAGTAAATTAAATCATACTACAGGAGAGTGGGAGCTCTGGTAGCATAGTGCCTAAGGCACTTGACTGCTAACCAGAAGGCTGGCAGTTCAAACCCACCAGCCACTCCTTGGAAGGAAGGTTGGGCAATCCTACTTCCGTAGGGATACTGCCTCAGAAACCCAAAGAGGGGTCGCTATGAGTCGGGGCTGACTCGACAGCAAATAATAACAACAACACAGGAGAGTAGTAGGAATCCTAGCCCTTGAATGGAAGGGATCCTCAAAAGAGGCTTTCAAACAGGTAATATATTATTCCTGAGGCAACCAAGGCTCAGAAGTAGGGTGATTTTCTCATGCCTACGTAACAAATAAGTGGCTTATGAACCAGAATTCCTATCCTTCCTCCTAGCAATGTTTTCTTTCTGCATACTGAAGTTTCTCTGAGTCAAAGTGAGAGGAAAGGCCTTCACTTAGGGCCCCATATTCCTCCCATCCCTCTTTGTCCTACTAAAACATTTGAACCAAAATCTCCATCCCAAACACTAGAGTACATCTGGTTCTTTCCCCCACAACCCCTACCTGTTGAAGGACTTATATTTGGGAAGTTCAGCTTTGGCCCCATAGGCCAGCAGATCAATACCAAGTTCCACTTTCTGCTGGGGGTCAACCCCCATGGCTCGTTCCCATGGGGAGATATAAGTTTTGAACACAGTGATATGTTTTCCTTCTCCACCTTCCTGGTCTCCTGGAAGCCGTGGGAAAGAAAGGTAGGTCAAATAAAAGCAGTTAGTAGCCAATGGAAGCTAATCCCATACCCATGCACTAGGGGCTGGGATAGGGACCAAAGGTGGGTAATTGTGTAAGGTTTATGGCATAATGACAGCCTGGAGTCAGGTTTATGACTAGATTTGAAAAACCAGAAAAGTGCCTGAAAAACAAAGCTTCTGGGTGGAACTAACACATAGTATACTTCTGGACCCAGAGAGTCCACCTAAATATTTCAGCTGGCCTCCCCTCCTCCTCATACCCAATCTAGCTCTCATCCTGAGGGCTTCTCTGCTTAAGGACTCAGACACATTACTGTGAGGTGAAGGTACTTACCTGTTCCTGACTTGCCAACTCCCTCTGTGCCAGTTCCTCCTCTGCCAGCCTGGCCCCCAGGGCCACCTGTACTCCCAGATCCAGACCCAGACCCAGAGCCTTGATGGTGCTGCTGGTTAGAGCCATACTGTCCAGCAGAGCCACTGCCCCCTGCCTGGACTCCACCGCTGGCTTTGCTGTAGGTGAATCCCTGACCAGCTGTACCCAACTGACCACCTACTGTAGGAAGGAACTTCTGGAAGTGATCCTGAAGAGAAAGGACAAAGTTAGGGAAAAGATAGTGATGAATATAGGGAGGTGTGTACAGAGAGGAAGGAGGTGATCAGAGATGACTGCCAACTGGAAGACACTAAATTCTCTGATGATATTCCTCCAATACATGGAAGGTGAATAGCCTGGCTAAGAATCAAAACACTCCTTGAGAGGTGGGACCCCGTAGCTTAGTTCCTCCAGTTACATTTTAGGATGGGTGCAGCTCATTCTCCACATTCCCCTTTCCCATCCTTACCAGGGCAAAGAAGACCAAGACTTCTTCCTGCTTAGTTAAAATTTGAAAGGATGGAGTTGGCAATGGAGACCCCAGCCTTAATTTGAAGAACTAGAAGGAACTCTTCCCCTCCCTCGCTCAGCCTGTCCAACACACACAACGTTCTTCTCCCTCTCTCCCTCCTCCTCTTGATGCCTGTTGGACCAGGACTTCCTGACAGTGAAATTGTAGCTGGGTGGGAGAAAGAGTGCCCAAAAGGGCAACACTGGCTTCAGCCACAAAGCCTAAAAATAACCCCTCCAGGTCCTTCAGGAGGCTGTCTTGGCCATCCCACCAGGCACACCCCCGTGCTCCACCCAATGTAACTAGACCCAGACAGGGAAGAAAGCTTTGCCCTCCTAAAGTTAGATGTGAACTGCTCAGCACTTTTACTCTGTTTCTATGTGAGAGCCAATGACGAACGCTCATGCCCCTTGCCCCCTGTAGGCATCTATTTCCATTCCCTCTCTAACCCCCTCAGGGAAGGTGGAGGAGGAAAAAAGGAAATGGAGAAAATCCCCTCCTCTCAGCTTAACATCTTGTGCTTAGTGGCTCTCCAAACCAAAAACCAAACTCACTGCTGCCGATAATGACCACCTTCTTGGGTTTCCAAGGCAATACCACTACAGAGGTATATTGCCCAATCTTCCTTCCGAGGAGTGGCTGGTGAGTTTGAACCACCAGCCTTCTGGTTAGCAGTCAAGTGCCTTACACACTATGCTACCAGAGCTCCCAATAGCTCTCTATCTCCTACTTTTCTTCCTTTGGAGAAGCCTGAGTGGGGGGTGGAAACTGGAAAGACAATTTCATCCCCACAACTGAAGTCCTGAGGGAAGAGGTACATATATCCCATTAAAAGACTGACCCTTTAAACAAAAGAATGGCTCAAGGAGATGGCAATAAAAACTCACTTAGTTCTTTTTAGGGTTGCCAGATTTAGCAAATAAAAATACAGGATACCCAGTTAAATTTTAAGATATGCAACAATTTTTTTTAGTATAATTATGTCCCAAATAGTGCATGGGACATACCATATTTTTCACATGCATATAGCAGGCATAAGAAACTGACAAGGAAGTTGTGCAATTTGCAAAAAAACATAACACAGGCGTTATTTGTGTAAAAATATGGTACACTAGGAATCCCTGGATGGTGCAAATCGTGAAGCACTTAATGACTAGCCGAAAGGTTGTCAATTCAATGCTACCCAGATATTCCTCAGAAGTCCAGCCTGGCGATCTGCTTCTGAAAGGTCGCAGCCTTGAAAACCCTATGGAGCAATTCTACTGTATACATGGCGTCATGGTGAATCACAATTAACCTGTAGCAAGTAACAACAACATATTGATACTAAAAATTGTGTGCCTCTGAAACTCAAATTTAACTGGGTGTTTTATATTTTTATGTCCCAAATATTATATGGAATGTACTTACACTAAAAAAAAAATTATCCTTTGTGCATATGAAATACAAATTTAACTAAGCATTCTATGTTTTATGTAGCAACCCTATCTTTAACATTTATCAAATGTTATAGATTGAATTGTGCCCCCAAAATGTGTGTTATAGTTCCTAACCTCTATGGCTGTGGTTATAATTGCATTTGGGAATGGGTTTTCTTTTTTATGTTAATGAGGCAGGATTAGTATAAGGTGTGTTTTGAGTCAATCTCTTGAAATAGAGATCAAACGGGGGCGGGGGGATCAGAGATGGGAGGAGAGAGATAACAAAGCACATGAAGATCTCCAAGGAAAAGAAGCTAAAAAGAGACAAAGACCTTCTTCCAAAGCCGACAGAGAGCTGGCACCCTAGATTTGGACTTCTAGTCTCCTAAACTGTGAGAAAACAAATTTCTGTTTATTAAAGCCACCCACTTGTGGTGTTTCTGTTATAGCAGCACTAGCTAACCAGAAGGCTGGCGGTTCAAACCCACCAGCCACTCTTCGGAAGGAAGATGGGGCAGTCTACTGCCGTAGTGATACTGCCTCGGAAACCCAAGGAGGGGTCACTATGAGTCGGGTCCGACTCGACGGCACATAACAACAACAGAGAACTAAGACACCCAAACTGGGAAAGAATTTTTTCCCTGAGAGTGTGGTATCTCTCCCCTCACTTCAACCCACTTTCACTGGCTCTAAGATAGAAACTGAGTTGCAGAGGTGACCTGTAAATCACCCTGAGCTGTTGGGGATTCATTATACCTGGGAGTATAATGAGCTTATGAATTTGCAGAAAGGGGAGGTTGGGGGTATTTTGGAGATTTAGGCCCTACCAAGAAGCTGTTGGAAAAGGCACCAGGCTATGAGAGAGTGGTGAGGTTCAAAACTCACCATTGAGCTGTCAGAGAAGACATCAGGGTGGTTCTCATAGATAAATTTCTCCACTCGCAACTGCCTCAGTTTGAACATCTTGGAGCCCCGGTTAGTGAGCAGCGACAACTCCTCCAACATCACATCCCTTGGGACACTGATCTTCTTGCCCAGGTTGAGGCCTGAGCTCTCCTGCCCACCTTTAGGGAGGTATGGAGGAAGAGGCAAGGAAACAGGGAAGTAAGGCTTTCTGGGCTCAGGCTTTAGGCCCTATCCTCAACTAAATGTGTGTGTCCTGGCAGAGATCACTTGGGAGAACAAGTACTATCTGATAAGTCTATCAAACTGTCTAGTTTGTCTAAATTTTTATTTCCTGGATTTGGAGTTGGAATGAATGCATGGAAACTGGGATACAGACTAGAGATAGTGGAGGATACTAGAGTGGAAATACGGAGTAAGAGGGGCATGGGTATGGAGTACAGGGCAAAAAGAGTGAAGGAAAATCATAGGTGGAGGCATTGAGGAAACTATGGCATAGAAGAAAGCCCAAAGGCCAGTCCTGTGTGGAGCTAGCCACCTGCAAATAATACATACTCAGATCTTAACTCCTTTCCCATCTCTTCCCCTCAGTGAATTCTGGCTGCAAACAGCTTCTGGGTGTTGGGAGAGCTCTTCACACCATGCGTGCCTGCCTAACCTTAGAAGAAATGCCTTTGTGGTTTCCCCACATTCCCACCTCTGGGGAAAGAAGTAAGGAAATGATTTTTAAGTTTTCTGGGAGAAATTATCCATTTATTGAGACCTTACTTTGTGCCAGTCTCTGTCATATACGTTTTCTTCCTCAAACATACACCCATTGACCCGTGGTCCTGTGATCCTGGAGCTGTGCTAGGTAATATGGAAGGGCATTGTCTCAGATTACAAGGTGAAAAGGGTGGAAGGGTGAATAGTCAGTGTCCAGTTCTTTCCCCCTCCTCCTTACCTCCCATCCCTCACCCCACACTGGAATTCCTCTTGTCCCTTCATGCTAAGACATATATATTAAACTTAGGATATTTCTGGGACTCTTGGGCCAGGGGTGGTCTTAATAGGAAGTCCCACATTGGTTAGGTGCACTCTTGCCCTACCTCCAGTGAGTTCCATAATCAGCTTGCTGGATTTCCTCTTCTTGTTGGGGGCAGGGGTTCCGGATAGCGGCATTGTGGAGGAGGATTCAGCCTGGATAGGGTGGGAAGGAGAAGTTGGAGGGTATACAGATACAAGGAACAGTGAGTGTTTACAAATGAACCCTTCTTCTATTCTAGGACAGTACTTCTTAACCTGGGGTTAAGGGCTGTAGGTGGCAAAATTTTATCAAATTCTCAAAGAAATATGGATTACCCCAAAAGGTAAAAATCCACTCTTTAGAGCTTCTCTCTTCTTGGGAACCAGAGCAGGAAGTATAGATGTACCCCCTACCCTGACCCTCTATCAACTTCTGTTGAGCTGTTTTACATAGAGCTGGTTCAGGGATTAGGAACACAGCTCAGGGTTGGGTTTTTTTTTTTAAAAAAAAAAAAAGGCAACCCAGGCAAGACAGTGCACTCAGGTTTCTATTGGTTTGGCGTGATTTGAAGTTTTCATTTATGTTGGGATCTCAGATTGGGGCTGTGATTCCAAGCTCTGGTCTCTTGGTCTTCCCCAAGCCCCAGAGGGGCAGAGAAATGTTCTGCCAAGGTTGCAGGGGATTCAGCCAAAAACATTCTCCCTAGGGAGGAGAGGTTGTTACTTTTCCACTGGGCCAGCTGGAACATGGCCTGGGAGGTCATGGCTATACTCCCCTTCACTTACCCGTGAACTGGAGACCCCAGAACTGGGGTGGGGAGGGGCAGGAAGCATTTGAACCCTGATGCCTGTCAATTCAGCAATAGCATAGCAGAGGACAGGAACATAGTAATAGGATCTGACAGTGGAGGAGGACAAACTGGGAACAGATACAAACTCCAGCTCCTACTTAACAGAAGTCAGTCCTCAGCAAAATTCCCTCTTCTGAGTCCTGTCTCACAAACACCCCTGCAACTCTAATAACTTGATGCAGTCTGGTGAAGCCAGAGTCCAAGAATCACTAAATGGACTCACCCTGTACCTCTCTCAGCCCCTCCCAGATTCTTTTTCCATCAGCCTCTTGGTCCCCCATTCCTCCAGTGCTTCTCCCGGTATCTCTGTTCCCTCCAACCTCCTGTATCCCCCTCTCTTTCCAACTCTATGGCTCCCTTGAATCAGACAGCTGAGAGCTGAGCATAGATTGGGAAGGGGCACTCAGGCAGGATGAAAACTAACAATTGTAGACACAGAAGAAAACAGAGTAGACTCAAGCCCCTCTGGTGGTCATAGAGCTAGGCTTACCGGTTGCTTAAGCGATGGTCAGCTCTCCCTGAGGTCCAGCAGCTTTGGAGGACGGAGCTGCTGTGACAGAGAACCCGAGCTGGACAGGCGTGGGGGCAGCACTGGCAGTGAGGGACAGGGTGGTTATTAATAGAGATGATGAGTGCAAGCAGCTCAAATGGCACAGGGGGTACTGAGACCCTGGAACCAAGATTCCTCCCTCCTTGCCCAGAGGCTCCTGAAGGGGAGAAAAAGCCTTTGAGATTCTCCCACTGAGCTGTCTGAGCCAGGGATCAGTTTGACTAGGGAGAGTTCTCCTTGCCCTTCCCTTGGCACCTGGAGACAGATCCAGAGAAACATTGAGGGAAAAATTGAAGACAGAGGGAGAGGAAGCAGACAGCAAGTGGTAGACAGGAATTCAGAATGGGGGAGAGAGAACCTGGAGAACGTGCCCTGAAGGCCATCCATAGCCACCATAGGCTGGAGCTGGAGGGACCTGTGGGTGTGTTTGGGGGTAGGAATGCTTAAGGCACTATGTTTGGGAAGGGAACAAACATCTGTTCCCACTAGAACTGCTGTTTTAAAGTTCCTGGATGGGTTGATCTTCTTTATCTGAGAGCCAGATCTTAACAGGATAAGAGATTGTTTTAACCAAACCCAGTGCTTCTAGGCAGTCAGGGATGATGTGGGGAAAACTTGAGGAAATTCTTCTGTCTACCTTACTCCCTTTTCTTTCCCCTTAAACTCTTGACAGTTCTGAGAACAGATGAACACTTGGATCTGACCATTTAGGGGAGCTCAGCTCAGTCTGCTAAGTAAGAGAGATATTGATGTGTCCGTGAGAAGCACATACCAAGACCCAAAGCCACTGACATCAAGTCAATTCCGACTTACAGCAACCCCCATTGCATTTCCAACGCAGTAAATCTTTATGTTGTTGTTGTTATGTGCCGTCGAGTCAAACCTGACTCATAGCGACCCCTCCTTGGGTTTCCGAGGCAGTATCACTACGGAAGTAGGATTGCCCAACCTTCCTTCCGAGGAGTGGCTGGTGGGTTTGAACCGCCAGCCGTCTGGTTAGCAGGCAAGTATCTTAGCCACTATGCTACCAGAGATCATGACAAATTATGGATAACATTGAGAAGAATGGGAATCCCTGAGCACTTGATTGTACTCATGAGGAATCTGTACCTTGACCAGGAGGCTGTCGTTCGAACAGAACAAGGGGACACTACATGGTTTAAAATCAAGAAGGGAGTGCGTCAGGGTTGTATTCTTTCTCCACACTTATTCAATCTATATGCTGAGCAAATAATCCGAGAAGCTGGACTATATGAAGAAAAACGTGGTATCAGGATTGGAGGAAGAATCATTAACAACCTGAGATATGCAGACGATACAACTTTGCTTGCTGAAAGTGAGGATGACTTAAGGCACCTACTGACGAAGGTTGAAGAATAAAGTCTGCAGTATGGATTACATCTCAACATAAAGAAAACAAAAATCCTCACAACTGGACCAATGAGCAGCATCACAATCAATGGAGAGAAGATTGAGGTTGTCAAGGAATTCACATTGCTTGGTTCTACAATCGATGCCAACGGAAGCAGCAGTCAGGACATTAGACGTCGTGTAGCATTGGGAAAGTCAACTGCGAAGGAACTGTTTCAAGTGCTGAGGAGCAAGGATATCTCCTTGAGGACTAAGGTGCGCCTGACACAAGCCATGATATTTCCAATCACCTTGTATGCATGTGAGAGCTGGACAATGAATAGGGAAGACCGAAGAAGAGTTGATGCTTTTGAGTTGTGGTGCTGGCGAAGAATGCTGAAAGTACCATGGACTGCTAAAAGAACTAACAGATCTGTCCTGGAGGAAGTGCAGCCAGAATGCTCCTTGGAAGCAAGAATGGCCAGACTTCGTCTCACCTATTTTGGTCATGTTGTAAGAAGGGACCATTCCCTGGAGAAGGATGTCATGCTTGGTAGGGTGGAGGGTCGACGAAAGAGGGGGAGGCCTTCAACGAGATGGATTGATACAGTGGCTGCGATGATGGGCTCGAGTATAGCAGGGATTGTGGGGCTGGTGCGGGATCGGGCAGTGTTTCGTTCTGCTGTGCATGGGGTCGCTATGAGTCGGAAACGACTCGACAGCACTTAACAACAACAACAACAAATCTTTATGGAAATAGATTGCCTCACCTTCCTTCCACAGAGTAGCTGGTGAGTTTGAACCACCAACTTCTGGTTAGCAGTCAAATGCCTTAGGCATTGCGCTACCAGAACTCCTTTGAGAAGCACATTAAAGGCTTCTAATCTGCTCTCTGAGGTTCTACTTGGGATTTCCTTCCAAGTGTGCACACACCCTATAGGCTCAGGGCTGTCCCATTCCAAAGTTCAAGAGGAGACTCTGGGCAGCAGCGGAAGCTTGAGAACCTCACGGGGGGGAAGGCTGCCATTTACCCATTCCCGTCCTCAGTAGCTTCATGAGCATCCTGGATCTTCCTCCACCTTTTGCTCAAGTTCTGGAACTAGCTGTTGCTGTTACTTCTTTTGTAGCCACACCAGCCTGTTGCAGCTGCCTATGGAAGTGGCCACACCCTCTGTCCCTCTGTGAGTTCTCCACTCTTCAGGTTCAGCCTAGGGGCTGAAACATTCTCCCTCACCTCCTAGTTGGTCCCTGCCCACAGCAGTTGTACCTCCAGATCCCTCACCTTCTCTCCTCTAGTCCCTCCCAGCCCAAGGCGTCAATTAGAAGAAAAAAACATAAATAGCCAAAGGTGATCTCATCATCACCACACTGTCCCCTCAAAAACAAAAAACAGAATTTTGGTTGTTTGTCTAAATCTGATTGAGTACCTCAAACTACTGAGGTGGTTGAAGACAGATGATTTAGCCTAATGTCTCTCTGGGCTCCTCCATTAGAATTCACAGAGGCTGTATACTTGAGGAGTTCTAGTGACACAGTATTCGGCTGCTAATCAAAAGGTTGGAAATTCAAACCCAGTAGCTGCTCTACGGGAGAAAGAAAGTCTACTTCTGTAATGATTTACAGGCTTGGAAACCCTGTGGGGCTGTTCTACTCTGTCCTGTCTGGTCTCTATGAACCAGAATCTACTTTTAAATGTTGTTGTTGTTGTTGTTGTTGTTGTTGTTGTTATGTGCCGTGGAGTGGAACCCGAATCATAGAGACCCCTCCTTGGGTTTCCAAGGCGGTATCACTACGAAAGTAGGTTGCCCAACCTTCCTTGTGGTGTATTTTTTGGCGTACTTCAAAGTATCAGTGTCCTAGACCTGGTTATTAGCATAAACATGCCCCCTGCTGGTAAAAGTGAAGCAATGGCACTCTTCCTTCAGAAGCCTTTTATTCCTGCCTGCCTCTGCTGATTTCTAATAATTAATCTAAATCCACATTGATCTACCTTTCTCTCCTTCCTCCTTTTCCCATCCCATTTTCACCGACTATTTATCATGATTGCTTCCTCTAGGGAGCTAGGACATGTTGATGACAAGAAGCTCAGAGGATCTTTCCAACTTCTCTTAGTTCTGTAAGCTGAGACCATGCCTAGGAAGTATGGAACAGGGGCTGGAAAGGGGGAGAACTTGGATGGAGAATGTGGGGAGAGGAAACCAAGGGGAATGATGGAGGTGGCTAAATTGGAGCAGGGTGGAACTGGTAGAGAAGAGCAAAACACCTGGGGATGAAGGGCAAACAGGTGAAAAGTAAGATGGCAGTAATGAGAGAAGCTCAAAAATCAGATCATGGGGATGGTTTAGAGAATAAGAAGATCAGGATTTGGGTATAAAACTGGAAGAAATGACAGCAACAGACAGTCTGGGAGCATGAGTTTATTCTTGTGCACAAAATAAAGTACCGTGATTCACACCTAATACTCAAAGGAAATTTCCAGATCAAGCAGCAAATGTGGCTGGTGGTGGTCAAACTGAGAGGGGAGTCTATACCCCTCCAGAATCAGAGATCAGAACCTGAAGCTGGAAAGGAACAAGAGCTAGGGCTTTAAGGGGTAGGGCAGGAATAAAGGAGGTTTTTGCTCTGTCCTTTTTCCTTTCCCAGGTCAACATGATGAGCTGCAGAAGACAAACTAAGGGACAGACTCAAAAGTAGCACAGAGTCCAACTCTTCTTTCAGTCTTTCAACACTCTGCACACACCCTTACATCCCCACCATCATCTCCCTTCACTATGCTGACAACTACATTCTTCTCCCTCAGAGTTTCCCCAGTCCCTTCCCTGCACACTGTTGCTTTCTTTACCCAACTGCACTCTCTGCCCGCACTGCACTGTCTCTCACCATGTTCCTCTCTATGGCTCAATCTGTTGCATTCATTTCTGTTCTGCTCCTGGTTTCTGCCTCACTTTCCACATCCTGGCTCCTTTCTCCCTTCTTTCAGTCTTAAGCTCACTGAGACAATGAAGCCAATGTTTTGTTAATTCTCAGAGGCAATTTTATATTTGATTACTTCCTGGATGCCAGGTTGCTCAGCGTGAGCTTCTCAGATTGCTGATTTTCTGAAATCCTGAGGAACAGAATTCTTAGTCCTGTTCTTGGTCTGGCTGCTATAACATCCCATGCAAGATATCCTGGCCCTTCAAAATCCTCACACCTTATAAGTTTCACAAGATCCGAGTCTCTAAGGAATTATTCTCTGGTGACTGTCTTTTTCCCCACTAAACAATCTATGTGGGAATAATATCTGACTCTTCTTTCATCAGTATAAGGGTAAGACCCAGATTTGGCCTTTCTTTAGACCTCCCCTCTTACTCTTGCCTTAAAAGAGCACATCTGTACACACACACACATTTGTGCATACGCACACGCACAAATACACGCCTAGGTATATGCCAGCCAAGCTTGGAAAAGAAGAGTGAGGAATAGGGACGGATTGAATGCAAGCAGGCATCAGGTTAGTCCCTTTGCTGTCTGGTGGTAAACTCTTGCCTGAGGTCCCAGTGGTAACTTCTCTGTGTACTTCTCACTGAATGTGAAAGTGAGGCCCACAGAGAAAAGCACAAAGGTAGAGAAACATAGACGCAGTGAAAGAGTATGGGAGGAGAGACCTGGAAATAAAGACAGAGATCTAGGCAAGGAAATACAAAGAAAGAGAGTAAAGCTCACCCTGGAAGCTGGGGGATGGGACACCAACTAGGAAACTATCTCTGGCAGGAGGGACCTTTAGCCTCCAGATGCCTGAGAGAGGGGGTAGATGCAGTAGGAGTAGCAACTTTAGGAACAGAATGTTCCACCTCTCCTTGGTCCTGGGAGCTGTGCTCTGCTCACTGGTGCCCTGCCCCAGGCCTCCACACATGAGCCTGCAATCCAGTTCTGGTAGCTGAGAACCTTGGCCTGGCTACCTGGAAGCCACAAGAGCTGGGGGAGGCCCCAAGGCCCCTGGGAGACTCTGGAGTAGGGGCAGGGCTTGGAACAGGGGCTGAGGCCAGCTCTGCCCTCCAGGTGGGCTCATCCAGTGTAGTGGCTGCTCGTGGTGCAAGCACTGTGGGGGCCAAGGGTTCTGCAGTGGGCTGGGGCGCTGGAGTGGAAAATCTGCGTATCTCCTGGACTCGGGCAGTTTTTGGAGGCCCTGAGGCAGTGGGACCTGGAGTTGGGGGAACTTCATCAAAACAGAACATGGCAGTTTTCAGTTGATAGGGCTGGTGCCTCATGAAATCAAGAACCTTGATACCCTGCTTGGGGGTTGCCCGAGGGCCCTGGGATTGAGCCTTACTAGGGAGAGTTCGGGAAGCCTGAGGGAAAAAGGGTGAGAGCAGTGGGTTGTAAGCAATAGGAGGCGGAGCACGGATATTGGGTGAATATTTCCAGGATGAAGGCAGTGAAGGAGTAGGAGAAGGGCTTCTGGGCCGAGGGCCAAGGCCAGGACCAGGTGTAGCTTCCACCACATACCTGTCTGCACGGCTCTGCCGCTTGGCAAACAGCTCCCCACCCCTGCCCTGCAGCCTTGGTGGCTCAGGGATTCCAGGCGAAGGGACATCCCCATTCATCAACCCATCAAGGAGACCTCGAGATAGGGGCTTAGGAGCTACTGGAGGTGGAGTCTTAGGAGTCGTAGGGGGTGGAGTCTTTGGAGCCATTGGAGGCGGGGTTTTTGGTGTAATAGGAAGAGGAATCTTGTAACTCCTGCCCCCTGGTGGCTGCATGAAGTTACAGGCTTCAGCCCCGAGGCTCAGAACGTCCTCCTCAGGACCAGATTCAGCACCCCCTGCCCGGGGTTTTTCATCCAGGTTCTGCACCAGTGACAGCAGCTCAGGGTTGGGCGAGTTCTTCGTCTCCTCATTTCCCTGCCGGAACATCTGCTTTCTAGTCCCTCGGCGCCGGGCCTCCTGCAAGATGCCTGTGCGGGCAGCTGGCACTGAGATGCGCTGCTCCCGCGCGCTAGGGGGCTCAGGTGCAGCTGGGCCCGGGTCTGGCGCTTCTGGGCGCGCTGCCTGTCGCAGAGGCGCAGATAGGAAGATAGAAGCAGTGGAGGTCATAGCAGCTGCGCTAGGAGTAGTGGAAGGCTCTGGGGCTCCCCTTGGAGTAACAGGCCGACTGGGGGCTGGGATGTACAAGGAACTGGTGGCCGTGATAGGGCCGGAAGAGAGCGGAGTGCTGGGTGAACCCGAGGCTGGCATATGGCTGGAAACCCCTGGAGTGGAACTGGGCAGAGGGGTAGACCCCTGCGGAGAGGACAAGAAGGGAGGTGGGGCGGGGCTGAGGTCTCCCAGGCTTTCATTCGCCCTCTTAGGGGCTAGGGGCCGAAAAATAACTGGGGTAGTACCTGCCCGCTGCCCTAGTAAGCCTGGGGTAAATGGCCTGGCTGACCGGTTAAAGATGCCAGGCGCCGGGGAAGGGGCCCCAGCGCCAGGAAGAAAGGGTCTGGAGCTGGCAGCAAGAGCTGGCAAAGGGCTGGGTGAGAGCACAGCTGCCTCAGGGGGCGCACTCTGGGCCCGAGGGGGTGACTGCAGACCCTGCCGATTGAGCACAGCTGGTGGGCCATTCTGGACCAGCTCCTGGGCGCTGGAGGCTGCGCGCTGGCGCTGCTGTTCAAAGAGCTGAACCCCTCGCCCTGAGGCCTCACTCAGCTGCCCTCCAAGCCCAGGGCCCTGACCCTCTGCTGTGCTTGAACCTGGCCTGGCCAGCTCCATGTCCAGATAGGGGCTGTCCCAGTCAGACTGATTGGTGAGGCTGCGGGCGTCGGAGAAGGCCTCGTCGTCTAGCTCCGATTCACTGGTCGGGGGGACACCGTCCTCCTCCTCGGCACCTGTCCCCACTGCAGCCCCAAAACTCACTAGCGTGTACTTCTTTGCCCTCTGCCGGCGTTTCTTAAACATAAGCACTCCCTTGGAGTGGGGGTTGGGGGCAGCAGTTAGCAGAGATGCAATCGTTCGGCATTTGGTCTTGGCCTCCTTCACACTCTTCTCTTGGAGGCTCTCTGCCCGCTGTAGTTCTGAGGAAGCCAGGAGACAAAATGGTCAGTGGGGCTTTCCCAGCCTCTTTGAGTCCTGTTTCCCAGCTCTCTCAAGCCTCCCATCTTTTCACTGACTAAACCTTCAATGTCTCCTGCCTGTGGCAAAGTTCTCTGACTTGGGGGAACAGTGGAGGGTGAAAGGTGAAACCAAGGACAGCTAAAGAGAAGGCAGAGTCTTGATCTGCACTCACCACAGCCCTCCTCCTATCCTCTCTTCCCTCTCCTCTGTTCCTATCTTCCCAGAGATGTGCTCTTACCCACACCATACACATTCCTTCTCTGCTTCCTCCGTTCCTAGCTGGCAATGGTGGGGAGATGTTGCTCCCCATAATAGGAAGGGAGATGGTCAGGTCCCAGAGAGAAAGAGATGAGAAGGGACACATTCCTCCCACTACAGAGCCAGAGGCCATGGTAAGAGGCTTCTCACAAAGTTTGAACCCCCGAGAGAAGTGATCCTATGATAAGAACACGAAGCATCTTTAGCAATGAGGATCTTCATTCATTTTGCCACCCCCATCATGCAGCACACATTATATACAAACTTTCATATAAATAACTACCATCACACATGCATACCATCATATGTACTTTCTATCATTCACATTTATCCTAGCTCACATGTTCATGTTCACATTAAAGAAACAAACCAAACTCACTGCTGTCGAGTTGGATCCGACTCATAGTGACCCCTCCTTGGGTTTCCGAGGCAGTATAACTACGGAAGTAGATTGCCCAATCTTCCTTCTGAGGAGTGGCTAGTGGGTTCGAACTGTGAGCCTTCTGGTTAGCAGTCAAATGCCTTAGGCATTGCGCCACCAGAGCTCCTCATGTTCACATACACGCATATAAATATACAAGTGTCCAGAAAAACAGAGTTACCCAAACATTCCCACACAGACCCACTCCAGGTACACTTTCTTCCCAGGGTCTCTCTGAAGAGACTCTGTTCCTAATTGTTGGGGCAAAATCTTGGAGCTGGTCTTTGCTTTCTAACTACCAGAACATCTCTCTGTGCCCCACATCCCTGCTACTTACAATCAGGATTAGTTTCAAACCCAAAATGCAAGAAAAGCCAAGTGCTACTCTCCAAACGAACTCTCCAAATCTTAGAACACCTCAAGATCACCAGCTAAATATACTTTCATTTCTGCCAAGCTGGAGTGGGTGGGTTTCTTTGGAGGTCAGAGTTGCCCCCTCTTTTTCAAGCCCTCTATATTGACAGCCTGGGTGGCTACTCCTAGGCAGGCATGCAGGGACTACGTGCTAAAGGGAGCCAGGGCAGGGCTTCCCAAACCATGAAGGGCCTGGGTGGGTAGGGCCAGGAAATAAGAGCAGTTGCCTTGCTGTGGGAACCCGGCCTGGGACACTAATATTCTCTGGTCCATAGTCCCCAGTTCCTGAAAAATTCTTGAAATTCCATCTACTTCCCACTCAAGATAACAACCATGCTCCTTTCTAATTACATCTCTCATGCCTCTCATCCCAAGTTTATAACAAAATAGTGCTCTGAATGGAAGAACAGGCTCTGGAATCAGGGTTCAGTGCAAATCCTGGCTCTGTAAGGTTTTTGGTTCTGAAAACTTGGGAGCATTATGTCACTTCACTGAAGATCATTTTCCCCATCTCCAAAGGAGGATGATCATGGCTACCTCATAGAGTTGCTATGAGGAATAAGAGATAATGTAAGTAAACTTAGCTCTTAACATAGTGCTAAGGTCCACTATGAGTAGTCATTAATATCTTCTTCACACTAGATAACAATCATATGGACACTTTCTTGTTCACACACATCTTCTCTACTCCCACAGACTCTCACACACATGCCTTCACACCTCTCTCACACACACACTCCCTCCCCATGAGTTTTCTATCACCCATGTAGTCACGAATCAGCCCATTCTGAGAAAGCAGCAGTAAAACTCCTGATAAGAGGAGAAAGAGGAAGGCCAAAAGGAAGAGGAGACAATGGAATAAGACCATTCCCAAAGACCTCCCTTCCTAAACTGCTGACATATTTCCCTCTACTCTGGATTCCAGAACTCCCTTGGATATAGGAGGGTAGTACCTGCATAGAATGGGTCCTGGAGCTCAGGATCTGGGCCTGGAGCTTTGTCACAGTAATCTTGGCTGAGGAGCTCTTGGCTGATGGGCTCAAAGGTCTCCATGTCAGGAAAGGCAATGTAGGCTGGAGCAGGACCAGCTTGAGCCACCCCCCATGCCTTTTAAAGCCCCTTTGTCTGGTCCCCAGAGCTGGCAGCTGAATGAGCTCACTGGGCTATTCTTGGAGCCTGGCCCCCTCCCTTCTCTAGGCTGCCCCACAAGCCCCGGTGTGATGGATGTCACCACCTGTTTACCCTTCCCCCCACCCCACCCCATTTGACAATGAGGTCTACTTGGCTAAAAATATCCCTGAGCCACTAACTACAGTCTCACCTAGTATAATGGGAAGGAGGGTGGTGGTGGTGGTGCTAAAATGAGATTTGTGGAGAAGCATGGGATCCTGGGCTTGCATCTGGAATTCCTTTGTGAAGTCTTGGACACTTGCAGGGATGTCAGCCCCTAATCTGTGGTGTTGTTAGCCTTCATTCCAAACTTAGAGACACAAAATTCTATGGCTCAGCAATCAAAATGGCGGTGGTGATGGTGAAAATTAGAACTACAGGGATAATCCTGAGATTTCTGATGTGAAAGAAAGGTCTCTGGTGAGGTGTATGAGGGGCATGAGGCACAGAGAAAGATTACTCTTAGACCTTGTTCTATAGCTCACATCAAAAATAGCAAAGTGCCTGAGATAAGTGGGACCAGATTTTTCTGCCCAGGCCTACATTCTTGCCTGAGATAAGGCACTGAGGAGCCCTCCCCACTACTACTTCCTAGAGATCTCATGACTATCCTGTTGCCTCACAGTCCCCAGGAATCCTAACTGAACTTACAAATGTCAAAAGTAGCTCTGATGCTATGGCTACAAATAACACTGAAGTGCCCCTGTAGTCCTCTCAGCTCCTGTAGTCCTGTCCTGCTTCCAAATACTCCCCAGGGCCATGTTCACACTCTACCCTAACTCCTATCCCAACATCTAGCAAAATAATAATAATAGAAACAAAAATCATACACTGCATCTATTCATGATTTTTCCAACTTCTCTACCTACCCTGTTTCTGGGTTAGATTGAACTACCTGTTCCTTTTTGCCATATTGGTTCAAACAGCAAAAATAACAGGGGCCATGAGAATAGTTTCCTCTCTTAGTCATCACTCTTCTCCACTTGTCCCAAGACCATCTCCGAGAAGGGTGAGGCAGAACATAGAGCTATGGAGTAGTAGATTTAGGGCCTATATTGAAGGATGTTCCTGGTTGGAAAGAAGGGGTTCAGGCACTTACTGGCTTGCTTGGCCTTCTGGGTGTAGGTGGTAGTAAGATCTTCTGCCACTGGGTGGGGAACAGGCCCCACCATAGGAATTAGGTGAGGACCAGGCCGGAGGGGTCCATGGGGCAACAGCAGGGCCTCGGCTGGGGGTGGCTGAAGGGTTGTCCCATCTTCCCAAGATGGGGAGCTCACACGGCTGTCACCCTGGCTAGGAGGGCCAGGGGCAGCAGGGGCTGGTTCTGCAGGACTGTCAGATAGGTAGACCTCATCAGGTGGAGCTCCTGGAGGGGTGGGCCTCATGGGGCCTCGGCGGCGGGGTCGGCGGGGCTTCTCCTGGGTAGCAGGACCATCAGCATCACTGTCTGTCTCTCCATAGTAAGCCTCACTGTCAGGCGGTGAGCGAAGGCTCCCAGGCTGCAGAGACTGGGGAACTGGAGCACCAGGGGGTTCAGGACTCAGTGGAGACAAGGGTGACAGCACATGAAGCTCACCAGGAGATGGAGATCGCACAGGCCCTTCATCCCCTACCCTGTATGGAAAATTGTCAGAACTTGAGAGATGGGCCAGGTGACTGACGGGTAAGAGATCTGGAGGAGATGGGAGAAGGATATAGGAGGAGGTGGACTGGGATACAGGTACAATGGATGGTCTGGGAAGAGCAAAGGTCTGAATACAAACTGGGGGGCAAATGTCCTTGGAGGAGAAATAAGCTTAGAGGGAGATGAGATGAGGAGGAGACAGGCTAAGGGTTAAAGTATGCCCACTGACTCATATATTTTTTTGATACCCCCATCCCTTAATTGCACATACATTCAAGCCCCTTGGGAGGCATACACAAACATCTATACACTAGCACAAACAAACAAGTGGAAGTGGGCATTTGCAAGCTGCTAAAGCCAGGCCAATGAGACATAAAGCTGAAGAAGGCAATGTGAGCCCTGAAGGGAAGCCCTACATTAGGAGGACAGGAAGGTAGGGGACTCCATACCGCCGCACAGTGAGGACAAGCTGATTCCCTGAGGCATCAACGAGGCTCATGGCACTGGCATGAGAGAGGCTAGTACAGGAGACTCCATTGATGGCCAAGAGCTGGTCCCTCTCTCGGAGCCCTGCTCTGCCAGCCTGGCTCCGTCTTCGGATCTGAGAAGGGAGAGATTTTAGGTGAGGGGGTGCTCCACAGGGAATAGAATGAAAGGAGTTAGGACAGGAAGGACTCTGTGTGAAGGGGATTTTACTTTGCAGGGTAAGAAGGAGTTTTTTTTGGGCAGGTATAAGGCTGCAGTTGAGTAGGACTGTCTAGAGGGAGGAAGCTGCAATTGGAGGGAGTAACACATTATACAGAGGGAGGTAGGGTAACAAGTGAATGAAAGAGGTTTGGGGAAAAACTGTGTGGGGGAGGTACTAGATATGGTGGTTATATCCCCAAGTTTTTCCTCCAAGGGCAATACCAACACTGGCCAATATTCTTCTGGGCCTTAGAATCCCAGGTGCCATTATCCATACAGTCAAGATGTTAGAACAGTATTTCAGATCAGGGGGACTCCAGCCAGATTCCTGCAGATTGTGACTGTGTCTGTGTATATGTGTGCCTGTGTAAACACACACATACATAAGTTAAAGTAATAGGAATAGCTGCTATCATTTATTGAAGGCTTACTAAATGTCAGGCACTATGTATTATTGGTTTTAATCATTAATATGGTTCTATAAAGTAGGTACTACTGTTACCCATATTTTATAGTTCAGAAAACTTATGCACGAAAGATCAGTAGCAGTGCCTATAAAAACCCAAAACCAAACCCACTGCCATCGAGTTGATTCCAACTCATAGTGACAAAATAGAACCACCCTATAGGGTAGTGTAGGAGCTCTGGTAGCATAGTGGCTAAGACACTTGACTGCTAACCAGAAGGCTGGCGGTTCAAACCCACCAGCCACTCCTCGGAAGGAAGGTTGGGCAATCCTACTTCCGTAGTGATACTGCCTCGGAAACCTAAGGAGGGGTCGCTATGAGTCAGGGCTGACTCGACGACGGCACATAACAACAACAACAACATAGGGTAGTGTAGCGCCTAAGGCACTTGACTGCTAACCAGAAGGCTGGCGGTTCAAACCCACCAGCCACTCCTTGGAAGGAAGGTTGAGCAATCTACTTCCGTAGTGGTATCACCTCGGAAACCCAAGGAGGGGTCACTATGAGTCGGTCTAATTCGAAGGCACATAACAACAACAATATAGGGATTCCAAGGCTATAAATCTTTACAGAAGTAGACTGCCTCATCTTTCTCCCATAGAGTAGGAGAAACAAAAGATCTGAATTCCAGATCTTGTCATAACTCTCTTTGCACTAAGTCTTGCCTAGAGGCTCAGATGCTAACCGAAAGGTTGGAGGTTTGAGTCTACCCAGAGGCACCCTGGAAGAAAACCTTGGTGATCTACTTCTGAAAAATCAGCCATTGAAAACCTCATGGAGCACAGTTCTATTCTAACACACGTGGGTCAAAATGAGTTGGAATTTTCTCTACAGCAACTGGTAGTGAGAGAAAGGATCTGGCTTAAGGATAGAGAAACATTGAAGGCATGGGCAGGGCAAGGCAGGGCTGGGCTGGGCTGGGCTGGGCTGGGCTAGGCGAGATAGCTTCAGCTCATTACATATCAGTTTGTCAGAGAGAAATTAGAACCTTCCCAACATTCCTAGAATTTGAAGTAGAAGCATAGACCCAGCAGAGCAAAGAGCATGGTTAGACCCAGGCCTTTGCCACCATGGTGCCTCAAGGAGCTCTCGAGCAGAGCTTTTCTTTTTCTCTACTCCCTGCAAACCAGGAATTAGCTTTTTTAATGACCCCCCACAAGAAGCCTGTGGTCAGAGACCATTTCCCCCACCAAACATAAGCATGCTTCCCTGCTCACTCCTCCTTCAACCCCACTCCTCTTCTTCACAGGCTCCCAGCTTCTCCCCCACAGGCCACCACATGACTCTTCCCAGGTTCCCTTGGGTTCCCCTTTCCCTGAAGCCTCATTTCAGGGGCTCTCCCTTACCTTGGACACCTGTAAAGGTTTCCTCTGCTCGGCCCCCCCGTGAAGTCGGAAGCCCCAGGGGGCTCCCCCTGATAGTGTGACCAGCACCTCCTCCTCAGCACCCATCGCTCAGCTTGGCCTATGGCCCCTGGAGTTTGGATAGTGTCCTAGGAAGAGAAGTCGAGGTGCTGGTACCCCGTCCGGCCTGCCTGTCTGTCCTGCTCTTGCTGCCCCAGGCCTCCCCCCCACACCACACACCACAGGCAGGCAACTTCGCCCTGGGATCAGTACAGTCCAGCACATGTGTTCCGTCAATCTGAGCTGTGCTCAAAATAGTTGCCGGCTGTATTCCCATCCCTCCCCCACCTGTGTTACTCCTGGAGCTAATTATAGTCAAAACTTCTGTCCTCTCATGTCCCCCATTCTCCTGTCTGGGCCTTTTACTCAGGACTCAGAGTACTAGCTCTCTGGGTTCTATAAGTAATGTATACCCTTCGAGAACTTTGCCTTTTCCCTGATAGGATCATGGATTGATACCAACAGCTTTCCTCCAAAGCCCATTTCAAAGTACAGCAGCAGGTCTTCAGTTCCAGAACTGATAAGGAATGGCTAGGTTTGGCCCCACAAGTTCTTGAACTTCTCAGGAAAGAGGGCCCCTTCACGTAGCATTGACCTCTTTTTTTTTTTTTTTTTTGTGATTTGGGTGAAAGTTTACAGAGCAAATTCATCTTCCATACAGCAGCTCACATTCACTTTGTCTCATGACATTGACTACAATTTACCATAATGCAACAGCTCCCCCTCCCTTCCCACTTCCTCCCCATAGTTACCTCTTCACTGTGTCCTTCCCTCCCATGTACTCCTGCACCCCCTCAGCTGTCTCCCTGTGCATAGCCAACTCTTCTATTTTCCCATGATTTATCTCTCTAAGGAGTGTATCTACCTAATGTAAATGTTCAGCTTATATGCCTGTCTTTTATTTGGGTGGAAGCCACAGGAGTAGGCTTAATTCCAGACCTGAAGGGCAACTAGGGGCCATAGTGGTCCCATCAGGCTCTATCAGACCAGGAAACCTGGTCCTTTTTTTTTTTTTCAAAAAAAAGATTTTGAGTTTTGTTCCACATTGTTCTCCCATTCCATCCAAGATCTCCTATATAGATTCCCCTCTCAGTGGTTGACAGTGGTAGCCAGGTACCATCTAGTTCTTCAGGTCTCATGGTCATATAGGCTGAGGATCGCATGGTGTACCAGTTGCTTGGACTAATTGTTTCCATATGTCTTTGGTTTTCTTCATTCTTCTTTGCTCTGGACAAGGAGAGACCCATCATTGCTTCTAGATAGCCGCTTAGCACTGACTTTTTAAGTGGAGATCTACATCCCACTCCAGTGCTGGGTGCTGTATGGAAGAATTCTTCTGATGAACTGTCCCCCAATTGAACTGTTATCTCCTCCACAAAACCTTCCCTGGTCATCTAATTATTCCTTCCTCTGGGCAACATCTGTATCTTGTTTATATTTTTTAATTTTTGTATTTATCAGTGAGTATTATAATTTATTTACATGCCTGTCCCCTCTTCTAGACAGAAAGTTGAAGGCAAGGTGTGTGTGAAACAAGAGCCCACAGAACAAACAATGCCTCGTGTTATGGGTGTTTAATAAAAGTTTGCTGAATTAAATTAATTCTTAAAATCCAAAGGAGATCATGGATAAGTAGACACATATAGGCCATGCCAACCCATGTTAAACATTTCTATTTGTTTTTATGTTTCCTAAACTAATATACCCCACATTTAGAGATCTCTTTCTGTTATAAAGCTGTAAAGCTGTAACTATGATTATCAAAAGCTATAAGGTTCCTTGGAATAGCTGCTCCCCTAGTACTCTAAATGCTGTTTTGCCTTCATGTGTTATCTAGTCATGGAAAACACCAGGGATTTTGAGTTGAAGACCTGGACTTGAGTTCTTGTTCCATCATTTATTAGCTGTGTGACCTCAGGCAGTCACTTGACCTTATTAGTAAGAGAATCTAAATATCCATTCATTATTCAAACATTTATTGCTGCTAACTGCATGCCAGTCGTATTATATCAGTGGCTTTAAATTAACACTGAATGCACATTTAGAATCACTTAATAATCAATATTAATAAATGATTAACAAATTCAACATCATAAAAGTAAAATATACCTGCAAGGCCAAAACATCACAAAGCAAATTCATAAGATAAATGATACACTAGTGAAAATATCTGTCTCTCTGTGTGTGTAATGATTCCCAGGCCCTAATATCAGAAACAAATTATGCAATTTCCATGATATATCAAAAGCCCTTACAAATAAGGAAAATCACCATAAAAATAAAAAATAGACTGAAAATGTACAGGAAATACCAAAGTCTTTTTAAAAATGAAGACATTCAACCTTAGATGTATGAAGTACACATTTGAGGTAGCATTTTTCACATTTCCAACGAGATAGCAAAGATCCAAACATTTGCTAACATTGTTAGCAAAGGTATGGTGAAACAGGCACTCCTGTTCATTGCAGATGGAGAAACTTCATTACATAACTTTTTAAACTGTGAATTTTGAATCATCTTAGACTATTATCTATGTAAAATTATCTCCGATACAAAAAATCCCCATCATAATGTTCTTTTATGTTGAACAAGAATAAAAAAGTGAAAAAAAACAATTACTTAATTTTCATATAGGCACATAATGCCACAGTTTTTAGTAGGAGGACCAGCTCATCCCAGTTTTCCAAGGACCTTTCTGGTTTTAAAATAAAAAAACTTCACATCCCTGGAAATATCTACGTCCCAGGCAAAGCAAGACAGCTGGTCACCCTAAGCTCCAAGGAGAGAAACCCTTAAAGCAAAGATACAGGAACCATTCAACCATCCAAATGGGAAGGTCAAGTGATCCTATAACATGTGTCACTTTGTAGCATCACAGAAAGGAAGCCCTGCCAATACTTACGAAAAAGAAACCACCACTTGCTGTTGAGTCAATCCTGACTCATGGTGATCCCATGTGTGTCAAGAGTACAACTATGCTCCATCACCTGAAGAATTTATAAAACTATCGAGTCCTTAAAATAAAACAGCATATAATATTAGGTGATTGTGTAATGAAATCATCTATCTATTAGTGTGTGTGTGTGTGTAATGATTCCCAGGCCCTAGCCCTGATTTTATTGGTCTGGTACCCAGTATTTTTAAAAGTGCCATAGATAATTCTCATATGCAGCCAAAGTTGAGAACAACTAGGTAGGGGATACCAAAGCAAACCAAATCCACTGCCACTGAGTCAATTCTAACTTGTAGTGACCCTACAGGACAGAGTAGAACTGCTCCGTAGGGTTTCCAAAGCTGTGAATCTTTATGGAAGCAGACTGTCTCATCTTTCTCCCATGGAGCTGCTGGTCGGTTAAATCACTGCACCCTCAGAGCTCCTGGTAGGAGATACAGAAACCAAAAAGCCTAATACATTTGCCTCAAGAAGCTATGAATTGAGGCTCTACCACTTACAAAGGATGCAGTCTTGGGCAAGATGTGATGCCTACTTTCCCATGCTAATATGAGAGTTAAATGGGCCAAATTATGTGAAAATGCTTAGCAGAGGGCTCAGCTTACCACAGATGTCCAGCAAACGTTAGCTGAATTTGGCAAATGTTAATCTAGACCAGTAGTTCCCAATATTCAGTGTGCAATGGAATCACCTAGACCAAACCAAACCAAAAGTCGATGCCAACTCAGCAACCCTATAGGATAGATTAGAACTGTTCTTATAGGGTTTTGCAGACTTTATGGAAGCAGACTGCTCCATTTTTTTCCTGAAGAGTGGCTGATGGGTTCCAGTCACCAGCTTTTCAGTTGGCAGCCAAGTGCTTTAATCACTGCATCACTGGAGCTCCATAATCACCTAGAGGGCTAGGTAAACTATAGATTAGGCATTCTGATGGCATAGTGCCTAAGGCATTTGACTACTAACCAGAAGGCTGGCTTGCTGGGGCCTATCTCCAGAATTTCTGATTCATTATAACTAGAGTGGATCTGAAATTTGCATTTCTAAGAAGCTCCCAAGGAGCTCTGGTGGCACATTGGTTAAGGCATTTGGCTGCTAACCAAAACGTTGGTAGTTTGAACCCACTAGCCGCTCCTTGGGCGAGAGATGAGGCAGGCAGTCTGCTTCTCTAAAGATTTACAGCCTTGGAAACCCTATGGGGCAGTTCTACTCTGTCCCATAGGGTTGTTACCAGTTGGAATGGACTCAATGGCAGTGGGTTTAGTTTGGTTTGGTTTAAGTTCCCAGGATCGTATTTTGAGAACCAGTAATTTTCACTATAAATTCTAGAGCTCAATCTACTTGTTTATTAAAGCATGTTCAATGCCTAACAGTTTCCAGCAGACTAGATGTGTAATGACTTTTTTTTTTTTTCAATGAATGAACCACTCTGTGCCTCAGAATAACTAATATCTACTGTCAACAATATGAGAGCAAAGATTTTGTTTACTACTGTTTCCTCAGCACCTAGAACATGGGTCAGCACAGACAGTGCTCAAAAAGTAATTATTAAACGAATAAATAGTTACAAGGAATAAATGAAGTCATGTATATAATAAAAAGCCTACACTATTAGCGACAATTATTGTTATTCATTACACTGGGTGATAATAATTATTGCAAGAACTGTGGCTCTTGCAACCAGACTGGGTACATCTTCCATCTCTGGCACAGCTCTGCACTTAAGAAAAGGTGCAGTATGAAATTGGGTAACTAATAACAGTGCTCTTCACTGATCGCTTACTGTGGTGCTAGGTAATCTATATAATTGCCTAACTGCTTCCTCAAGAAAATGTTAGGTGGGCACTATTCTATTAGTGCTATCTTACAAACGAAGGAAACTGAGGGACAGACAGATAAATTGCAAAAGCCATTCGAACACATGCAGTCCGAAGGTCGCATCAGTGTTTTTTGCCAGCGTACATTCAATAAACCTTACGACCAGCTAAGGTCATAGGTGAAAACAACCTCCAAGACAGAAATCTGGGGTCATGGGATAGCAGGAAGTTGCAACAAAACTTAAGAGGTCACTAATACGCCATAGGCGGATAGAGGGGGGTATTCCGAAGGATAGTCCGACCCAACCTTTCCAATCGCATTTCAGCCACTGGGGCCAAAAAGTGACCATGACATCTAAAAAAAAAAAAAAAAAATGTAGACATGATTAAGAATCCACAGTCTCAAGGTGGCGGCCATGATGGAAGAAGAAGCGCATGCGCGGCATCCGGGTTCCCGAGCGCGTGCCTAGAGCATACGTGGCAGAAGGAGCGGACCTGCTCTCCAGCGTGGGGGCGTTACTTCCGGGGACGAGGCGACAGCCCCCTCGGAACCGGAAGTGGAGCCTGGGAGCCTTGACGTTAGGAACGAAGTCGAACCTGGATCTGGAGCCGGGTGAGGAGTGGCATCGGGAGGTTGGTGGGTTGAAAAGCAGAAGAGAGGCTGAGGTATCACTGGCCAGATCAGGGTCCCGTCTGAGAAAGAGGACAGGATTCCGGGGGCAGGGCTGTGGGAGAGTCCCTCACCTCGCGCATCCACAATCCAGGCTCTGTCCTAGACCCTCCCTTCGCCCTCCCTTCGCCTACTGGCCCAGATTTCAGTCTCGCGCTTCCTGCTCCCAGTTTCTTGAAAGGCGCAAGACTCTCAGCGCCTAGACTTAATGGACCAGCGCGCTCTCTCATCGTGGTCCAAGAAGCTGGCTTGGCCCATCGGTCATGCTCTCCGGAGCTCCCAGGCTCCACATTCACAGTTCGACTACTTCCAAAGTTCTAGGAAACCTGCCCCGCCCCCTTGGATTGTCATCCTCTACTTCTTTGAGAATGGAGTCGAGACTTGAGCTTGACTCTAAACGTTTGGGTGTCTTTGGGGAGAAGGGGTAGGAGTTGGTTTGTTGAAAACCTGTGCCCTACTCCAGCCTTGACCTTTTATTTCCTGGAGAAAAAGCCCCTCCCTCTTCCGCTGACTTTAGGGGAGAGGTGCATCTGTCAAGCTCTGTGTCAGTGACCTGTGTAAGTTTCTGAATTCAGAAGAGCAGATCCTGAGATGGCTTTGAGTTTAAGGAGGGCTTTTTGAGGAGCAGCCCAGCTTTTCAGTGGTCAAGGTGGCCCTTCCTACCAAAGGGGAATGGTCTGTTATTCCACTGCAGTATCTGTGAGCTCTCCTGCATCCTGGACCCCTCTGTGGGATAGTTGGGAGTAGTAGACTGTTTGGAGTAGATGTAAACAGTCCTCTTCTTAAAAGGACCCTAGTAAAGCTCTAGTACATTTCTTTCTGTGGGCAAGACTAATAATTTTGGAAATGGCTTAGATACATGGCAAGCATGTAAGCAGAGCAGAAACAGAGTTGAAGAAATGCCCCATGCGGGATTTCATCTCTTCTTCATGGGATTGCCATGGCTCTGGGTGACTGGCTGGCAACTAATAAGTCTGCTTGAAGGATAAGATGGATAATCTTTTTGATGAGATGTAACTTTGCCACTGATCCTATAATTATTCTGAAGACTTTTTTTGTACCTGGCCTGCACTCAGCTCTAATCTGGTACCTGGTTTGAGTTTTCAGATGTCCTTTACATTTAGGGAGTTTAGTGCTTCAGTTATAAGGTCCATACATTCTTTTGATGGAAAACCTAGAAATGGAATAACATTTGGTTATTATCGTCTAGCCAAATAATATCATTTGTCTAATCCATTAACTCTAAAATTTGTCTTTTGAAGGGGAGGGAGTTAACTGGTCTGTTTCGGTCTTGTAGCCTGGTTTTTAAAAAAGACTGGCATACTATAGGGCACTCAGTGTTTGTGGAATTAATGGATGCTAGAGTGAATGGATGGAAAGTAGGAGTGTTATTTCATTTACAGCAGTCCATCAGCCCTAGGACTCATTGTGTGACTGCACATTAGAAATTATACCACTGGGGAATGGAGGCTGCTACTCCATTCTAGTGGACCTGTCTGAAGTTGAAATTTATACAAGCTTGTTAGTGACAAAGCATGGGATTCAGAGTAACAAAATCCTTGCTCTGAGGAGGTAATCAGAGTACTGTCTGAGGCAGAAAATTACTAAAATCCCATAGTGTGGGAATGATTAAGCTAATCTCTTCCTGATAAAGTCAATCTCTTTTATATCTACTTCCTACCTCAAATAGTTGGTTTCTCTTTAGAAAGTTGGTTTTGACTAATTTCTTTATTCTCTCTCATCTAATAGGTGACACTGAGTTGGGGATGCTCTCATAATGAACGTCAATCAGTCAGCTCCTCCTGGGCCGCCATATGGGCAGCCCCAGCCTGTCTACCCAGGATATCATCAGTCCAGCTATGGTGGGCAGCCAGGGTCCACAGTCCCTCCCACCCCTTATGGAGCCTCCTACAATGGCCCAGTACCAGGCTATCAGCAAGCACCTCCTCCAGGTATGTATGTCTAAGCTTCCTTTGAGCTGTGGGAAGAATCAGCAGAGTCTTCAGGTTAGATTGTATTGCTCTAGCTAAACTGCATGAAGAGTTGTGACTGGAATTGAGGAACATGAATCTGGTTCTTTGTCACTGAGATTGCTGTGGCAGTCAGTCCTTCCTTGCTTTTACCATAGGTGACTGTTTCTGGTTCAAACTTAAGACATCTAGTAGAAGCATGTCTTCCTGGTTCAATGGCAGCTTACTGCCTATGGATATCACCAGATGCAGCCTAACCTGGTGTTCAGAGTTAGATGGAAGGGTAGTGATCACAGTTTCTCCAGAAAATGTGGCCAGGATTGTTGTTGTTAGGTGCTGTACAGTTGGCTCTGACTCATAGCCACACTATGTACAACAGAATTAAACACTGCACAGTCCTGCACCATCCTCACAGTCGTTGCCATACTTGAGCCTATTGTCACAGCCACTCTTGTCAGTCCATCTTGTTGAGGGTCTTCCCCTTTTATGCTGATGGTCTACGTCCAAGATCAAGTATTTCTTACTGTTTCAAAGTCTTCCTGAAGGCTTATTTCTTGTATATATTGAGAATGCTTCTCAGCAGAGAGATGCTAATATAAATGACTCTGGGACATGGGGAGTTAGTTCTTGGAGGAAGATGTTGTGTACATGTCCCTGATTTTTCATGCCTCTCACATGTTTCTGCTGGTAACATTCATTTTCCTTTCCTTGAGATTCCTCTGCTTCTTAGATGCCCTGTAATATCAAGGCAGTAGAAGACTAATCTGGTGCTGCCTTAGGGTCAGTGTTTAGATTTTATGTTACTTCTTCAAGGAAGGGCAGCTGGTACTCTGCAGATTATCCACAGTGTCTTCTTGGAAGAATGTTTCTGGAGGATCTTTAGTTAGATAATTGAGGACTTAGGATGCACCAAACTGTGTATATTTTAAAGAGACTAAATTCTATAAAGGAATATGGGAAAAATAAGATACCAAGGAGGCATAGGTAAGATTTGGGAAATGAATGAAGTGTTTTTATTTTAATTATAACTTTGGAAAAGTTATTCATGAAGTGGCAAGATTAGGTCTCAGGTCTGTAGAAAAGCCTTACCCTGGGATGGGACTTTGGCTGGACATAGTCCACTTCTGCTCTCCCAAGTCCTGGCTTATCAAGATGGAGTTTGGCATGGCCTCAAGAGTGAGCTTTGTTATTGAGAGGAACACCTTTCTGGTTCTGTCATGGCTAGTTAGCATGCTCAGATCAATTATGGTCCTGTAGGCAGGTTCTGTAGTGTGTATTTCTGCAGAGGGCTGAGCAAAATAAAATTTTTTGAAGGTACGAAAGATAGGATATAGGTCTGATATGTGGAGATCTTTCCTGATATGAGGTTAGTTAAAACTAAGAATACTTAAGGGCAGGCAGAGAACAGAGGTCAGCAGCATTTTGAAAGTGAAGGTGCCAAGTAACTAATCATTTTCATCCTGTATTTCATGTGGGAAGCATGTCAAGGGTTAGTATGTAGGAAGGATGGTTGGGATAGTAGAAGTAGCTTGATGGGAGTTCTGATGAGTGGAAAGGATGAGTATAGCTTTTGAGTAAAGAACAGAGTACAGCATTTGTGAGGAGACAGGTGGCAGCATGGGAGGGTAGGCCAGCTGACCTGACTGAACTCTTAGGCACAGGCAGTGTCTCCAGCCAATGGGAAACACTTTTCAGAGCTATGTGCTTTTCATTTGGAGGTAGATGAAGAGGATATGATTAGAAATGAAATGTATGAAGAAGAAAGTGACAGAATAGTTTCCCCAAGAGATGCCTTTCTTTGCAACCTAGTTCAATGTATTACTTAATCATCTTCTGTGCATCTTTCTCATATGTGCATCAAGTCTCTGAATTCTGGAGTAGAGTCCTTCTCTTAAAATAATTGACTTTTTGTCTAGCTTAGGAATGTTAGGCTGTCTTGGATTGAGTGGGAAGGTGATCACAGGAAGGCTCTACATTCTTGTGGCTCTGGCTACAGCTTTGCTCCTAGAGTACCTGTCTCAGAGGCTAGAGGCTCTCTGACTACTGTATAGTTAGAGTTGCATGTTGATGGTGTCATTTTACTACAAAGCTGTGGTACTGGGCCAGTGAAGGGCTGTCAATTGCTGAGTATGTTTATTCCAATTATGTCTTCCAGAACTGGGGAAATAATCACAGGATGGGTTCAGGGACCCATTGTGTCCACTGTGAAATGGGCTTAAGCTAAAACACCATCAATCACCTGAACTCCATAAGTCTCTACTCTGACTGGTAGACTACAGTGATAATCTGAGTCTGCTGGGATTAGTGTCAGTTCAGAGCTAGTGTCCAGTAATCCCCAAAAAGTCTGATTATTTTCTTCCCCCCAATACATAGCCATCCTGGAAAAAGGCCATAGGTCACTCTAGGGAAGACTGGGAGAAAGATTAATGGTGTAAGTTTTTGGAAGTGTGATAGGGTCCTCCTCAAGGGGACCTGGCCTCCCATTCATTCAGGGGATTGTGAGTCTGTAAACTGGCTCATCTGGGAATTGATTGAGGGGCCATGACTCTCTGCATTCCTGACTCAGGGTGGAGGAGAAAATTATTTTCCAATCACTTAGTTTTTGTCCTTTACCCTCAGGTGTGTCGAGAGCCCCACCTTCCTCAGGGGCACCTCCAGTCTCAACAGCACAGGCCCCTGGTGGCCAGGCTGCATATGGCCAGTTTGGCCAGGGAGATGTGCAAAATGGGCCGAGCTCCACTGTTCAGATGCAGAGGTATGTACTTGGGTCACGTAAAATCAGTCTGATAAAGCTGTAAGGTTAGGAATGTGTGAGGATCTATTTTTTTGTCTATTTCATCACTTTGCTCATAGATCCCTTTTTCTTACCCTTCTTCTCTTTATATTTTCTGTTTCTTTTTTTCCCCCCAGGTTGCAAGTTGCAGGTGCTGCTGATGTCCAGCCCTCTGGTTTATTGACCCAGCTTAGTGTCTAGGTTCTTTTGCATGTTCTTCCTTTCTGCGAACTTGAGAGTTTTTTCCCTGGACTAGATATACATCTTCACTGATTTTTGTGGCTCCTCTTGAACCTACCTTAAAAGTGAATTAGGAAAAGAAAACCTTAGGATTATTTGTGTCTTCTCTCACTTTCCTCTTTTCTCTGTATCAGGCACTTAGTAGGACTCATTGGTTATTTCTGTTATGCAAGGAAAGATATCCAAAGGATAACCACGTAAATAATGAAAATGTAGGTGGTTCATAGCTCAATTAATCTCTGTCTTTGCGTGGAAGTTCTTTAAAAGTGGGAAGTCATCTCTGTTGAAGTATTGTGGGTTTTTTTTTTTGGTAAACAAAGAATAAAATATAACTGTGAGTGGGGGGGTGTGATCACGGCAGAGTCACTGTCTAACACTTTTATTAGGTGTTCAGAATATACATTTTAAGCAGTGACTATACACCTGGAGAAGGAGCTTGGGAAGTTCTCTCTACCTCTGTGTATTGGGAGACTGTGGGAAGCAGTATAGGGAATTCATTCATTCGCTCAAAAATACTTACTTTGCGCTATCATGTGCTAGACATTTTTCTAGAGGTTGGGGATAAATCAGTAAATCAGAGACCAAGTCTCTGCCTTTGTGAAGCTTATATTTTAAGGCGTACACAAAAGATTATAAATAGACAAATATACATAAAATAAAACAGGGTGGGGATCTAGAGAATGACTGGTGAGGAGCTACAGAGCTGTTTTATATATGCTGGTCAAAGAAGCCTCAGAGAAGTGATAAAGCAAGCTGTGCAAAGATCTGAGGGAAGAACGTCTTAGGCAGAAGAAACAGCAAGTACAAAAAGGCACTGAGGCAGAAGTTAGTTTGATGGGTATGAGGAAAAGGAAGAAGGCCAGTGTGGCTAGAGCAGAGTGGAGAGTGGAAGAGAAGAGTTAGAAACATAATCAGGGGCCATATCATGTAGTGCTTTGTAAGCTATAATAAGAAGGTTAAATTTGATTTTAGTAACAGTGAGAAGCCGTTGGAGAGTTTTAGGCTGTGGAGTAACGTGATCCCATTTGTTTGTTTGGTCTTTTGATTGATCAGTCTTTTCATTGTAATGTGAAACAAAAATAAATAAAACATACAAAAATGTATGGCTCAGTGAATTATTATGTGAACTCTCTTGTAACTACAACTTAATCGAGAAATAGAAAGAAATAGAACTCTGCCATGTATTCTAAAACCCCTTCCTTGTGCCCCAACTCAGTCACATCTCTCACCTTCTACCCCAAAATAACCATTATCTTGACTTTCATAGTAACGGCTTCCTTGTGTTTTTAAAATAGTTTACATGCAAGTATATATCCCTAGATACTATAGTTTAGTTTTACCTATTTTAAAAAAAACTTGCTGTGTCTTTTAAGTCTATAGATTCCCCCTCTTTTTCTTTGGCTTACTCTTTATCTGTTGAAATCCTCAAGCCAATTATCTGAAGAGTTTCCTAGAGTCTGGATTTTCTTGGTTCCATATTCATGTTACAGTTCAGTTTGTTCCACTTTTTTCTGTATTTCCCACAGATTGACAGCTGGATACAGAGTCTGGATCAGACTTGAGTTTGACTATGGATAGTGTGGGTCAAGACAGTGGGAGGCATATACATATCTTACTGACTCTCTTTGTGATGTTAGCAGCCATTGATGTCTATATATATTAGTTCATTGAGTTTACAAGGTGGTGATACTCTAATTCTTTTGCTTTTTTTTCATTTGTTAGTTTGAATACCATTTTAAAGAGACAGTTCTTGTCATCTGTTACTTGGTTACCTACCAGTTGTGCAGTTCATGACAGAAATGTGAGATTAATGCTTGATTCTTTACCTTACTAGTTTTCAAGGGAGTGAATTGGTCCCCTGTCATCTGCTGAGAGTGATCAGTTCTTCTTACTTTTAGTATTATGAATGTATGGATTTTTAAACATAGTCAATGGGTTTCGATCCACAGCAGTTATTATCATAACTGAAGTTCAGAATGTCCTGTCTTGACCAGTGGGAGACTTTTCATTTTGGCCCTGAGTCCTTTTGACATGACCCTAGTAGTCTTTAGGTATGATCATTTTAATTTTTACTTTTCTGATTATTTATGAGATTGTGTAGCTTTTTAATGTGTTCTTTCACTACTATCTGTATCTCTGTTTTTGCTAATTGTCTCATCTAGTTTTGGTCCAGTATTTTTTCAACTGGGTTTCATTTTTTTATTGATTAGTAGGCATCCTTCATATATTCTGGATACTGTTTTATATGTTTATATGGTTGTTTTATGTATAAATATCTTTTCCAGACTCATCTTACACATCTTATTTATGTCCCAGACCTAAAATGAGCCATTTCTCCAAGAAATATATATATATTTTTAAATTGTGATTTGGGTGGGTGAAAGTTTACAGAGCAAATTCATTTTCCTTTCAGTGGTTCATACACATTTTGTTTCATGATATTGATTACAGTCCTCATAATGTAACATCTTTCTTCCTACTTCCTCTTTATAGTTGTCTTTTCCCTATGTGTTTCTTTCCTATGCATTCCTGCCCTCTGAGCTGTCTCCCTGTGCAGATACTACCATTCTGATCTCCCATGATTGATTCTTCTAGGGAGTATACCTACCTGGTGTAAATATTCACCTTATGTGCCTCTCTGTTATTTGGCTGGAAGCCACGGATGTGGGTTCAATTCCAGGCCTTAAGGGTGACTAGGGGCCATAGTCTTGGTCATTGTGCCAGTCTCTATCAAACAAGTAAGCCTGCTCTTTTTTAATGATTTTAAGTTTTGTTCCACATTTTTCTCCCACTCTATCTAGGATGTCCTGCAGTGATCACTTTCCGAGTGGTTGACAGTGGTAGCCAGGCACTATCTAGTTAAGACGTACTTTTTTTTTAAAATAAAGTTTTGTATTTCAAGTTTATAATTTAGGTGCTAGTTATGCTCATTGCTATTATATTCCTCATTGTTTCTAGGATTTTTCAGTAGACAAAGCTAAGAAATTTGTATGTACATGTATTAAAGATGAAAACTTGATTAGTTTATATTGGTACTCCCAATTCAAATTCAAGACTAAAGAGCCTTTACATAACGTCTTTCCTATTACATCTATATCTCTTTTTCCACATTGGGAGTAGATGAGCAGATAGGCCTGTAAACTGAACAGTAACACACATGAAGAACACGCTGCTCAGAACAATCGACCATACAAGACCAAAAAGGCAGCATTTGCCCAGAAACAAAGTTCAGAAGGCAGGAAGGGTTGGAAAGATGAGTAAATGAGAACTGTGAACCCAGGAAGGAAGTACAGAGAGTGCTGTTCCATTGATGGAATTGCAACTAATGTCACGACATAACATGTGTATAAATTGTTGAATGGGAAACTAATTTGCTCTGTAAACTTTTACTCAAACCACAATAAAATTAAAAACAAAACAAAACAAAACGATGATGCAGATGATTGGATTAGAATATTGGAATATACCACAGTTTCTCACTTACTGTATTTGTTATTACATACAGTAGTCCAGTACAACAGTGTATCATTATCACCAATGTGATTACTAAAACATTTTTTAAAGTTGCTTTGCCTATGTTCTCTATATTTTCTAATAATTTAAAAATATATTTATTTAAAAAAGATCACTTTGCTGATTCAGGAGTAGAAGTAGGGATTCCTAGTAGGTTATTGCAGCAGTTCACATGAGAGGTATCTTGCTTTGGCTTAGGATGGTAGTAGTAGAGGTGAGAAGTAGTCATATTTTGAAAATAGAGTTAATAGAATTGAATGTGAGTTAAGAGAGAAGGAGAGATTATGGATGTCTCTTAGCCTCTTGGCCTAAGCAACTAGTTAAATGGTACTGCTGTTTACTGAGTGAGGAATACTTCAGATGGAGTACAGTTTGGAGGTGGAATTAAGGGTTTCATTTTGGACATTATAGGTTTAAGACAGGTATTAGCTATCCATATGGAGATTTTTTTTTCCCCTTTTATCTATCTATCTATCTATCTATTTATTCATTTATTTGTGATTTGGGTGAAGATTTACAGAGCAAATTCACTTTCTATACAGCAGTTCACATATACTTTGTCTCATGTCATTGACCACAGTTTACCACAATGCAACAGCTCCCCTCCCACTTCCTCCCCATA